GGTGGGGGTGATGGTGGTGGTGGGGGTGGACGAGCTGGAACTCGTTTGGCTGGTGGCTAAAGAAACAAAGATATCAAACTTCAAAAAACGGCACATAATGGGACCAGCAGTTGGCATAATGGCTATGTCACTGAACTCCCATGTAGTCGACTGGCAGTTTGAGTGCCAGACCCAATGGCTTAAACTCATGGCAGGCGCGTGTGCGTGTGTGCCCAGGATCCCCAGAGGAGAATGGAGGTGAAGGGATTGAGGTGTGGCCCTCCCCCCTGGGGGGTGATTTCTCACTTTCTGTTTCTCTTTCTGGCGAGTGCACACACACTATAGCAAAGACCTCTCCCCAAACAAAACAAAACAGCACATTGTATAAATAATGTCAGTTACTATTAACATTAATTAGTACCCAACTCATTCTTTTCTGGAAAAAAATTAAAATACAGAGGCGAGCAGGTGGCACGTAATTGAGGTGCTGGACTCCCACGTGGCAGACCTTGGTTGGAGTCTTAGACTAGCGGCTTGACACACGGTCAGTTTATGCGTGTCCAAAACCCCATGATGAGGATGAAGGAGAAGGAACTGCGGGTGGCCATCCACCCTGGGGGGTGATCTCTCCCTTTCTGGCTGTCTTTTCTGGCAGCGCACATGCCCTATAGCAAGTATCTGAAAATAAAATACGTGATTACTTCTAAACACAAATGCAAATTTTTTTAATTAAAAGAAAACTAGAAAATGTTATTGAAAAATATAACAAATAAATAGTTCGTGTTAAGATGAATTAACAAGAAGTAGTAACATCTGTGCCTGTAGTTGCAGTACTGTTGGGTTTTCTATTCCTGAGTCTGTGAGGACAACTGGAAATGCCAGCAGGTGGCGCTGTTTATTGCACAGAAGTGGACTGGGCTGTCTACATTTCCAGGCAACTGCCCTATTTTTCATGACCTGGTGTCTGTCTGTCTTTCTTTCTTTCTTTCTTTCTTTCTTTCTTTCTTTCTTTCTTTCTTTCTTTCTTTCTTTCTTTCTTTCTTTCCTTCTTTCTTTCTTTTTTTCCCCCTGTTGATAGAGGGAGGGAAAAGTTAGGAGCTTGAGGATGTTTAAAGAATGATGAAGTAAAAATACCCACCTATTTAAATACCTATTAAACTTATTTCAATTTTTTTCTAGTAGTGTTTATGCAGTAACAA